CCAGCCACTCCTTGGAAACCCTATGGGGCAGTTCTACTCTGCCCTATAGGGTCACTATGAGGTGGATTGGACTCGACAGCAACATGTATCAAATTTTTTTAAGTTTTTATTCATAGACTCATAGGACTTGAGAAATGAAAATCATCCAGCCAAACTTCTCATTTCACAGTTGGGGAAAATGAGGCCTGAATGTGCCTGTCTCCTCACCTTGCCTTCTGCCCTACAGCGTTATGTATTGGTTCCGTTTCTTGTTCGGGGAGGTAAACTCAGCTAAAGGCTTTCACCTCATCTTTCTTCATAGTTAAATCTCCTTTGGACAAGGGGTCTGGCTACCAGGTCCAAGCTGCAGAGGCAGACCAAGCTGAGGATTCTGCCTCCCCCTTGGTTGTCAAAAGGATCAAAGCCAGAGCAGGTTTTTGTGTCTGGATTATCTGGGTAATTGTCCAAACCTAACAAGTGAGAAAACCATACCGTCATCTAGAGCTAGCAATCAGAATAGCCTCAGCCTGGTTTCTGACAGCACCGGGGGGCCTGCCTGCACTGGGCACTCCTTGCATCTTTACAGATGGCCAGCCATGGATGAAAGCGCCGATGACCCTTATCACTTGATCTCTGGAACCAGGGTGCCTGACCAGGGCACAGGGCTCCGGGTGAGGTAAAGCAGGGTCCCTGGTACACCCAGAGTGGGGCTTGGCCATGGAGCAGTGCTGCAGTGTACCCTTCACCTGCGGTTTCTGTCTGGTGTGGGGAGGCAGTTCCCAGGGTAGCCTGTCCTTCCTGCTGGTGGTGCAGGGAAGGGTCACTTACTGGCTAGATTTACAACCTTGACTTCATGTGCCGCTTTGACCCTACCTTGTCTTCCCAGGTCCTCTATCTGCCACAGTTTCTCTTGCCTGTAAGCAATGCTCAGTCTAATTCAGGCACACGCTGTGTGACCATAAATAGGCTAATTTTTAATGAAATTTCTGCATCCATAACAATGTTGTTCTTCAAAGAAACCATTTCAGCTGTCTCAACATTTAGTCCAGTGACTACTCAGAATTTGTGATTCCTGACTTGGGACTTGCCTTCAGAGGCAGTTTGAGCCACACTAGAAAACTGTCACGTTTTATGGCCACACCTCATTGTCAGTCAAAGACAGTAGTAACAGCCTGGTCCTTCCATCCCGTTTACCTGGCTACCCTCCAAATGAATGATGACCATTTCTAAACATAAAATTCACACTTCACATTTGAGCACTGACCGTCACTGAAGAGATTCAGAAGAAAATAGTGCCAACTCTGAAAGCTGTTCGCAAATGGAGTTCCGAAAGCGTGGTGTCTGGCTGTCAAGGTGACAGTTCAGAAGGCCAGCGAGCCCTTGACTGTGTAAGCTCTGCTGTGTTGGTTAAACATTTGAGAGCATCTGTTCTTTGTAGGCTGCCTTTTCTGACACCTGTTTCCCCTTCCTGCTGGCACCACCGTGTGAAGTCATGGCTTCTTTATGTTCTCAAAATTCCCAACTCACCATCCATTCTTCTGCTCTTCCGCTTGGAATCCACTCTCTAGTTCTTTTATTGTGGGACCTGGAAAGCAAGGAGCTAAACCACTCCATTCCCTGTCCATTTAATAAGGATGATAGGGATCCTAATGTACCATGCTAGGCCCTGAGAGGACAAGATGGCTTCTGTTCAGGGCTATCAACTGACTTAAAGCTCATGATGGGTCTTGGCAGGCACACCACAAACATAAGGGAAATGTGCTTAAGATTCCCAGGTGGGTTACCACGGAGCTGGTTGCTTTGACTCTGAGAAGCATTTCTTTTTATCTGCATGATAAATTAATTGATTTAACACTTGAATGTTCAAGGCATGGTGAAGGAAAGACAATCCCTGCCTTCACAGGGTGTTCAGTCCTGCTGGGAAGCCAGACAAACGTACGTGAAACAATTTGAGAATAATTGTTTGCTGAACTTGTAGGAGTTGTACTGGAAATTCTGAAAAGGAAGAAATCCATATGAACTGGGATAGGTAGAAAACTCTACCTGGAGGGAGTGGACATTGAAGGATGTTGTAGAGGCAGGTCATTTTAGGCTTGAGGGCTAGCAGAAATGAGCTTGAGGGGCAGGGGGGTAGTGAGAAGACCCAGTTAATAGAAGTGAGAGTGAGTCGTTGGGATATGCTTGAAACATTTCCTATGTAATTTTTTTCTTCTAAATTTTATTTTGTTGTTGTCAAGAATATACACAGCAAAAGGTAAACACCATTCAACCATTTCTACATGCACAATTCAGTGACGTTGATGACCTTCTTCGAGTTGTGCAACCATCTTCACCCTCCTTTTCTGAGTTGTTCCTCCCTCATTAACATAAACTCACTGCCCCCTAAGGTTCCTATCTAATCTGTTGAGTGACTGTTGTCAATTTGATCCCATATAGATAGTTCTTAAAAGAGCATAATGCTCAAGGCAGACCTTTTTTACTAGTTAAGCTAAACTGTTGTTTGGTTTTAAGATGACTTCAGGGGATGTTTTTGGTTAAGGTTTAAAGATTATCTCAGGGCCTGCATAATTTTTAAGGGAGTGTTGGGGAGCATGGGTCACAAGGTTGGACATGTGGGATGGGATGGGTAGGCAGTAGGAGTCTTTGTAGGTTTTAGAACAAGGAAGTGAGTGACATGGTGAAAGTGGTATTTTAATAAGATTGTTGGGTGGCAGTGTGTAAGTTGAGTCTATGGATAAAAGGCATCTAATTGTAAACCAGCAAGGGCCTGGTCAGGGTCGTGGCTATGGATTGGAAAGGAAGGTACTTTTGAAAGGTATCTCAGAGGAAGAATCCATGGGGCCTCCTAACAACCTAAGAGTGAATGATAAATGAGAGAAGAGAAGCTGGTGCCCTCAGACCTCAAAGAATGATGGTGCTGCTGGGGAAAAAAAGGAGTAATGGGAAAAGGGAGCTAGTTTAGGGGGATGAAGGTAAGCTCAGTGTGAACGTTCTGAGTTGGAAGTTAATAGGTTACACACGGGAAGATTCTGGAAATGTGAGCTTCGGGGGCTTATGCAAAGGGGCCTTGGAGGGATCCCCCCAGAGTCTCCAAGTGATGCCACGGAAGATGTGAACTCGCCAGAGCCATGAGTGCTCAAGCAGACAGGCCCCCAAATGAAAGGAGGCGCTAGCAGGAACCAGTTCTGCTGCATTAGGCTTTTGTCTTTGGGTAGGACTAAGGTTTACTCCCTGTAACAGTTGGGAGAAAAAGCTAACTAATACGTGAGCTGTGTATCTTAAGAGTATACCCGTAATCCTCTGATATATCACTTGTGAATTTTTAAATCTAAGTCTATGGCTCTTTTTTCCTTGGTCTCCAGAGACCAGCTGATTAAGACAAAGGTCTTAGAGATCTGTAGCTCCAACGCTTAGAAAAGAGGCCTAGTCCCTCCACAGCAGTCCTCATGTCTTTGCTCACGCTGCTTCCTCTTCATAAATATGGGACCCTACCCTCCATTCTCTGGCTTGAATTATCCTGTAGGAGAGTTGTCCAGGGATGGTGAGGCTTATATTGCAGGGCTGAGAAGAAGAAAACAGCTGTTCCTTAAGGGAAAGAAGCAGGAGGAGCAGAAACAAGCAGCCCTTCTCTGGTCAAGCTGGCCTCCAGTCCTCCAGGCAGCTCAGTGAGCCCTCAGCAAGATCAGGGCAGTGGGAAGGGGGCAGGACGGAGGAGGAGCAGCCTGTGTACAGTAAAAGCGTTTGCCGTCAAAAGGCAACAAGTCTCAGGCCCTGCCCCGGACGGTGACCCTTCCCTGTGGAATTCTCCCCTCTGACCTCCAGATCATTAATCCCGAGGCTGCCAAATGACAGTCATCCATCACGCCTCCTGACGAGCATCCCGGCCGGCTGTGAAAGGACCTTGGCCCCGCCCTCCCTGCTGTCCCCTGGTGCTCATTAGTAGCCCTTCCTGCTCGGTGCCAGGTTTCCTAATCAAGTCCCTGGCTCTGCTCGCTTCCCTTTGGGGCCAGTGGGCGGAAGCTACTCTGACCCTCCCTCTTTCAAAGGCCAGGGAGGGGGTGGCGTGATCAGTGGGGAAAGAATTGTTGAGTGGCTTTTCATCCCCCTGGAGACTTGTGTGTCCAGCGGCTCCTTTGACATGGCAGGGCACACACGAGAGAAAAAACAATCTCTCTGTCCTGCAGCAGGCCAGTGCTGTCGGGAGTAAAAGAAGAGAAGGCAGGCAGTATGCAAATAAATAGGAGCCAGGGTGAAGAAAGCAGTTTGGAATCCACTGCTAACCCGAAGGTTGGCAGTTGGAACCCACACAGTGGCTCCGCAGAAGCAAGGCTTGGCGACCTGCTTCCGCAAAGATTACAGCCAAGAAAACCCTACGGAGCAGTTCTACTTTGCACATATGGGGTCGCCATGAGTCGGAATAGACTCGGAGGTAGCTAACAACATGCAAATAAACACACTTATAGACTGCACTGGGTGCTACAAAGGATGCCCAGGGAGCTGCACCTGTGGATGATTGTGACAGGACTTCCCCTGTCAGGGAGTCAGGACACAGCTTCCCTGAGGAGGTGACGACTGAATGGAGGCGGAAGGCTTCAGAGGAGTCTAAGTTGCTAAATCATCAGGAAACAATCTGGAAACTTATTGCTAGCTAAAAAGAACTTAGAAATCAGCTAGTCCAGCCCTCTTATTTAACAATGGGAAAACAGACCCAGAGAGGTTAAGTGTTTTGCTCAAGACCACACAGTGAGTTCGACCTGTCCTGCTTATCCCAAAGAGAACTGACAGTCTGGTAGTTTCCAGACTTTGAAGATTTGCATCAAATTAAAATTACACTTCTAAGCAAATTCATGAACATTTTTTCCAACTTAGCAAAAAGTGGGCAGATAAAGATGCCTTCCTTCTCTGCTTGACAATGACACAACCCTCTCTTTTTCTCTTTGAACGATCACAGGGACCCCCATCAACCGAATACCCATCATGGCCAAGCAGATCCTGGACCTGTACATGCTGTACAAGCTGGTGACAGAGAAGGGGGGCCTGGTGGAAATCATCAACAAGAAGATCTGGAGAGAGATCACCAAAGGCCTGAACCTGCCCACGTCCATTACCAGCGCTGCCTTCACCCTGAGGACCCAGTGAGTGGCCAGGGCCCTGGGGGAAGGAAGCTGGGGTTGGAGAGAGGGAGATGTTTTAACCTAGAGGAAAGGAAGGAAATTCCACTGTACAGTTAGCAAGATGAGTGGAATTCCTGAAGTGACATTTGGGAGCTTTCAGAGGTGAATCCCTCATTAAACCTAAATAATAACAAGAACTACCATTTACCAAGGGTTTCCTATGTGGCAGTACTTTACCATATTGTTTCATTTAAACTTCACAATCAGCCCCATAAAGCAGGTGTTATCCCCACTTTCCAGATTACAAAACTCTGTCTCAGGGGTTCAATAATTTGGCCAAGGCCCTACCAGCCAGTAAGTGGTGGAGCTAAGATTCAAACCTGTTCTCTGCCTCTGAAATCCACACTCTTTCCAGGGCACCATCTCCCAACAGCACCTCTGCCCTAAGCCTGGCCCTTCTTACCTGACATTCAGCTTACCCAGCAACAGGAGACCAGAAGAAGGCGGGCAGTCGGGCCCATCGGGATTGGCAACCTATTTTTGTAACCATTTGAGTTAATTAGAAAACTGATAGAAACAGTGAAACCAAAAGTAGCATTAGAGAATGAGGGGTTGAAGGGAATCTGTTCTTTTGGAACACACTGGAAGTTGTCATGTGAAGAACTTGGCATGAGCAGCTGACATCCCAGTTGGACAGCCTGTCACAGTCTACGTGAAAAGGGGAGGGGTTGTATCTATTGGACTTGTTCCGGCAAAAGTTGAGAAGTTGGGGACAGAGCTATAACCAGAACAGCAGTCTCCTTTTCAACCCTCTCTCAAGACTCTTGGGTAGAGAGTTCTTCTTCTTGGGGCATCTGACACAAGAAGGACAGCAATCCCAGGTCCCATGCACAATGGGAGGAGTTGCTGCCTTCTAACCAGCCTAACTCAGAATGGTTAGGAGATCAAGGAGCCGGAAAGACATTGCAAAACACGGGCCTGATTTCTCCCAGGGCGCTAAAAAAGGCACCAAAACAAACATGAAAACATTAGATAAGAGGTTATTTGTTTCCCTCAAGGAAAGATGCCTCAGATTTGAACAGTGTTAAGAATTGAGAAGCAGCTAGAGGAGCTTGGGGTGGAATATATTTTTCTCCCCCACCAAGTGCACTAGGGTTGCTGTCTTTACCCTTGAGGCCTGCCTGACAGGTTGCTTCCAGAGAGCCAGCAACATAAACTGAGCATTCTCTGGTGCTGTATTTTGGATTATTCTGGCTTCCTTCCTTTCAGGTACATGAAGTATCTGTATGCCTACGAGTGTGAGAAAAAAGCCTTGAGCTCCCCAGCTGAGCTCCAGGCAGCCATCGATGGTAACCGGAGGGAGGGCCGGCGGCCCAGCTACAGTTCCTCCCTCTTTGGCTACTCACCCACCGCTGCTACTGCTGCGGCCACCGGGGCCCCTGCCCTACTCTCCCCACCCAAGATCCGCTTCCCCATCCTCGGGCTTGGCTCCAGCAGTGGCACCAGTGCCAGTGGCCCTCGGATATCCCCAGCAACCACTCTCAGGAAAGGTTAGCAGGGCCCTTGGGGGAGGAGGAACAGAAGGGGGTTGGTGAGCCAAGTCTCCTCGTGCCCACAGTGGATTTGTTGGGTGGGAGGATGGATTGTTCCAGCTCTGGTTCCTTCACAGGTGATGGAGTCCCAGTGACAACAGTGCCCGTGCCAAATCGCCTGGCTGTGCCCGTGACCTTGGCAGGCCAGCAGCCCGGTACTCGGACTGCCACACTGGAACAGCTTCGGGAGCGGCTGGAGTCAGGGGAGCCTCCTGAGAAGAAGGCATCGAGGCTATCGGAGGAGGAGCAGCGCCTGGTGCAGCAGGCCTTCCAGCGCAACTTTTTCAGCATGGCGCGGCAGCTCCCCATGAAGATCAGGATCAACGGCAGAGGTGAGTGCCAGGCTCCGGGCAAGTGCCTCCCTTCCCACAGGACTGGGGCAGGGTGGCAAGGCTGACCTAGAAGGGTCGTACTTCTGACCTAGAAGAGACTTCTCAGAAGGGTCTAGAGGCCAGAAGAGAGCCCCTTGGGGCCTCAGTGGTCACTGAAATCTCAGTTCCAAGCTGGGGTCCTCTTCTAGGGGACCGGAAATTGCCTCAGGCAGTGCCCTGTTCTCTAGTTATTCAAGGAGGAGGAGCCAGAGATTTTCAGAGACAGCTGCTGTTTCTCCCTCCCACCAGCCTTTTGATGTGTCTAAATTAAATTAGAGGGCTCAACCTTCACCCCAGCACCTCACCGGATGGAGGCAAGAGCAAGGCACGGCCGTCATTCCTGAGCCTCACCGAGGGGCCAGAGCTGCCTCGGGCTGGTAGGACAGCCGTGCCCCCCATTGGTGGTGTGCCGGTAACCCTCGGGAAGAGCAGGGAAGGAGAAATACAGGTTTGGCAGCATAATTGCCATCCTTCCCCTTCCCCGCCACATTTTTCTACTGCCTCACCCTCTCTTCCCTGAACCACACACTCCATCTCTCTTGTTCCTCTTTCTCCCTTTACCCCTCACACACATTTCTTTGCCATTCTTGCCCTGGACTCTCTCTCAGAACAAATGGGAATCAGCATGTGTTGGGAAGAAATTGAGGGTGAAGAGAGCTGGTGCATATTTCCAAGTGGGCCCTCCCTATTCCATTTCCCCTGATCTGGGTGAGGAGCCTGAAGAAGCTGGGAGGTAACAGCCCCTAGAGCCAGGCTCTGTTCTCCATCACCCGTTCAGGGCAGGTGCCCTTGGTCTTGTACGGAGCCAGAGGCAGCTCCCCTGGAAGAATCTCGGTGTGATGAAAAGAGCAGGGTCTGGGGTGAGCCAGGCAGAGGCCTTGGCTGCCGGTGCGGCACCTGCAGCCTTCCGAGAACGCCAGCTGCTCAGGTTTAGGTGCGGTGCCCAAGCTGGGCCGGCTGCTGGGGAGGTAGACCCCGCCTAGAAGAACTCACAGCCCCGCTAAGGGATCTCTTGTCACTGGGAAGAGGAGGCAGAGGAGTCCTCAAATGCAGGGACTGGCTATTCCTGACCTCTGATTTCCCGGGGCCTGATGCATAGTGGGTACTCGGTGAGGGTCTGCTGAATCGCAGTGAAAGTGTTGGTGCACAGCAGTCGAGCTGAGGTCAGCCTCCTTGCTGTGTGTAGTCCCCTTGCTCCTAGAGCAGAGGACTTGGGAAATGAACTGGCTCAGCAGAAAAAGCAAGCAACAGGAAGTTGACAAGCTTGAGTTCTCCTGCCAGACCTTATGGTCAGGAGAATGCAATATGGGTGCTTTCTAACAACGTGAGGCCTTGGCCTGGTGTGGCTGGGCAAGGAGATTGGAGCGTGTCGGAGAGGACCACAGAAGTGCTATGGAAGGCTTGACCAGGCCTTGGTTCTCCCTTGTCCCCAGCAGAAGACAGATCAGAGGCCTCAGCTGCAGCCCTGAACTTGACCACAAGCAGCATTGGGAGCATCAACATGTCTGTGGACATCGACGGCACCACCTACGCAGGTGAGGCTCTTGAGCTCTGAGGGAGGCCCAGGCCTCAGTGGCTAGCCTCAGCGCACTCCCAGCTGACCCTGCTTATCTCGTCTGTGTGACCGTCCCCAGGATGGCTTCCTTTACGTAGTCTCAAGGTTCCAAAAGTAGCGTGGTTCTTCCGGACTAGTAGAGGCTAAGGATTGTTAACAGGGATGGCAGATCCCCTCACCCTGGTGGAAGGATAGACACCCTTGTCTAGCCCTGTTGGACTAATGTTGGTTCATTAATTAAAATCGTCATTTAACATGAGGAATCATAAGCAGTGCTACATGCATGCCCTAAACATTGTGTTGTAACTTACATCCATGTCCACCACTCACAGGTTTTCTGTGGGTCAACCCTTCTCTTTTTTTCCTAAAGCACACCCAGATTACATTATTTGTCGTTTCTCTGTCTTTAAAATGAACTAAGGACTAAGATGCAGGCAAAGCAATCTGAGCACAAACAGAATCATTCCATAGTCTTTATTTTTTTCTCCAGTCTTTTTACAGTTGTCTCTCCCTAAACCTAATTTGGCAGCAGTTCTTTTTGTTTGTTGATTTATTTAGCACCTTTACCAAGTCTTCCCAAGGCATTCAACTTAGTTCTCACAAAAACAGCAATTCTTTTCCCACTTTTATTTCACCGGTGTAGGTGTGAGCTGATTCGTTAAGCACAGCTTGACGAGTAGGAGCCCAAGGGCCCCGGCACACTAGGGAGTGGCCTCCCGCCAGGCCCGTGCCATTGGCGCACGGAGCGTGTTGGCCAGCCTGGGAGGTGTCCAGTGGAGATGGCCAAAATCTTCAACTGCACCTTCTGTCAAAACTGAGAGCATTTCCTCAGGGCACGCTTCTGTCTTCTGAATTTTTCTGAGGGCGAAGTCCCCTAGGGGAGGCCCTGGGTGGTGCAAATTGTTAAGCACTGGACTACTAACCAAAAGATTGGTGGTTTGAGTCCACCCAGAGGCACCTTGGAAGAGAGGCCTGGCAACCTGCTTCCGAAATGTCACAGCCCTGAAAACTCTGTGGAGCAGTTCTACTCTTCACACGTGGAATCAGCTCAACAGCAACTAACAACAACAAATAAGACCCCTTGGAGCACCAGCTTCCAGGCCTTGTGGGTATTCCTTCATGCACTGGATCTCTTTCGGGCCACCTGCCTTGGGCATTAGGGTGGAGGCCAGGGAAGGGGATGGAAGTTCCTGGAAGCAGCTTCCAGGGAAGCTGTGGTACCAGGCTGACTTGCCAGTCACCCAAAAAGTGGGTACACGGTGTGCAGGCCACATTCAGGTGTCTCTGCCTGACACAGGAGGCCCCTGGAGGAGACCCAGGTCTGCTCCGGCTGGGCAAACCAGGGAGGCCTGGGTGCCGGTCACGTTGTGTTATGGTGGTCTGGGAGGTTTAGGGGTTGGGTGTGCATTCGTAGAGAGAGCAAGAAGGTAGGAAATCAGTGTCTGGACCTTGTTAGCCTCTCATCACTCTCCCTGAGAGAGGCGGAGATGACTTCACCTTCCCTCTTAGAATGGGCGGTCAGAAGAGGGTTTAAGCCTCCTGAAGAGGAAAGAGCCAGCCACCTGCCCCCTCTGCCTTCATCCCTCTGCCCACCCTGTGCTCTTCTCAGTGAATGTCTTGGTTATCTAGTGCTGCTATAACAAACTCCGCAAGGGGGTAGCTTTAACAAACAGAAATTTATTTTCTCACAGTTTAGGAGGCTAGAAGTCCGAATTCAGGGTGCCAGCTCTAGGGGAAGGCTTTCTCCCTCTGTCGGCTCTAGAGGAAGGTCCTTGTGTCTTCTGAGCTTCTGCTCCTGGGCTATCTTCATGTGGCTTGGCATCTCTCTTCCCCCATCTCAGCTTCTCTCACTTGCTTGTTTAATCTCTTTTATATCTCAAAAGAGATTGACTCAATACACACCCTACACCATTCCTGTCTCATTAACATAACAAAGACAACCATTCCCAAATGGGTTTATAACCACAAGCATAGAGATTAGGATTTACAACATATATTTTGAGGGGACACAGTTCAGCCCGTTACAGTGGGTATGCAGTTGCCAAGGCCAGGAACCCAGGAGTCCTTCCCCACAGCTCCCTCTCCTCCTGTTACAGTAGCTTCCTCGGCCCTAGCCCTCCCCACCCCAGAGAGTGTGTTCTGAAATGCAGATCTCGTGATTCCATCCCCCACTTTAAACTCTCAGGGCTTCACAACCCCTGCAGGGTCAAACCTGCCTTGTTCTCTCCACCTTCCCAGCCTCATCTGCTGCCACTCCTGCCTTCATCATTCTATGGTCATACCAAACACTGCCTTAGCCTCCACACCTCTGCCACTTCTCCTGCTATGTCTGTGGTCCCCGGATTTCCTCTGCCTGGCATACCATCCCCCCCTCCTTCATTTGGCTGCTTTTCCTCCAGCAGCCCAGGCACCCTCTACCCTGGAGCCTTCCTGGGTCAACCTTCCCATGCCCTCCAAAACCTGCTCTGTTCCCACAGCACCCAGGTGCCCCTCCTCAGAGCATTCATGACATTGCAGCAGAGTTACTCTGTTTGCCTGTCTGCCCCCTCGCCGGGCTGTAGGCATCTGAAAGCAGGACAGTGTCTGGGAGCCGTCCTCTCGGCACCCAGCACAGCGTCTAGAACGCAGCTTTTGTGGAGTGAGGTGAGCAGTAATTACTTGTGAAAATGAACTGAATGTGCCCCTTCTCTCCCCGTCTGCCCACACTTGCTTCCCCCTCCGCCCCGCCCCAGGTGTGCTGTTTGCCCAGAAACCTGTGGTCCACCTCATCGCAGGATCTGCTCCCCAGAGCGTCGGCAGCAGTGCCAGCAGCAGCAGTTCTCACTGCTCGCCAAGTCCTACCTCATCCCGGGGCACCCCCGGTGCAGAGCCGTCCACCAGCTGGTCCCTCTGACGGGCAGAGCCGGCTTCCCACTCCCGCTCTCCTGTCGAGAGTGAAGGACGTTGATGCACAGAATTTACCTCATCTCACGGAGCCCACGTCAAACAGCATTTGGCCAGACGTTGAGGGTTTGTCCAGGCTCCATTCAGGTCCTGCTGTACTCTGGGGGCAGGGAGAGGCTGGAGGGGCAGGACAAGGCAGCGTTGTCCAATCAGGGATTGTCCTGGAGAACCGGGCAGGGGTCTGTGGGTGGCCAGCTTCCTCCAGGGCTCTCAGGTCACCTCCCATCCCGGGGCACAGTGTATCGACAATCTGTAAGCCGACACAGGGCTAGAGGCCCTTTATGACCCTTCCCCTTAATTTATTTCCCTTCCCCACCTTCCGCCGTCACCCCAGGGTTACTGACCTCTCCTCTGCTCAGTCCCCTACTTTTTAGCTCTCGTGTGGGGCTGCTAGGAGCCGAAAACCTGCCTTCATGGCCCCTCTCTGCTGAGCATGGGAGGGGGCCCTCCCAGCCCACCTTGCCTACTGGACTTGGCTCCTGGGGGGTGGTTCCTTCAAATCCAAGTCTTGAATCAGTCCTCAGGGCCCCATGTCTCCCTTTTAACGGTCCCAAGGAAGGGCACATGAGGGCAGTTTTCAGGTCCCAGTCCACTGCTGAGGGGAAGGCAGAGCTCGGGGCTGCCCAGGCCCTGGCACCCTCCTTACACTGAACCTCCCCAACCTCCTGCTCCCCTCTCACCCTTGTTGGCCAGCTCTCCCAAGAACAGCTCCCTTGTCCCTTGGGCCACCCTTTTTCTCATGGGGCCATCTCAGCCCCCACCTCCCCGAAACCTGCTGATGTCAGGTTCGTTGAAATACCTCAGATTTGTAATTGTTGATGTTTGAATCTTCAGGAAGTATTTGCATCTCTGAAATCTTTTTTATATGTGTTTTACTGACTTTGTTTTTTTATTTTTAAATTTTTTATTATTGTTGTTGTTGTAGCACCAAAGAATTGAAAGCAGACCACCCCCAGAGCCAAACAAATGATTTGGTTCCCCAGCCCCTCATCCCTGCCCTGAGACCCAAGTGAGGAGGTGGGGGAGGCAGGCAGGAGAGATGACTCAGGGATCATGGTGGGGAAGGAGGTGGGATGGAGAGTCCCACCCTCACGTCAGTTGGGGCTTGAGATCGCCATTTATGAAGACAGTCCTTGACTTGTTTCCTGCCAAAGCAGGGCTTGTCCTGGACCCCTGCCCCAGCTCACCTGTGTGGGGGCAGGACGTCTCCCCGCACTCAACATTCCCACCTCAGGACGTAGACAGGCCATAGAGGCTGAGGCCCTTGCTGGCCTTGCCAGAGGTCGAGCTGCGCAGGGAATGAGGTGATGCTGAGAGCTCAGGCCCTCCTCTTGGACCCTGGGGTGGGGCAGGTTTCTCTTTTGTTACGAAGAAAAGGCAATTTCCTGCACAAGGCTCACCTCTCAATCATCTAGGCCCTCACGTGTTCAGTAGAGCACCCCACTGTGACACCACAGGGCTGTGGTGGTAGACCACACCGGCTCAAGCCCTTGGCACAACTCCCATTTAAACCTGTCTAGGGAAGGAAAGGAAAATCCAAAGCTTGAGCACAAAACAGATACCTCAGCCTGTTAAGCGGTACCTCTGCCCGACTGCATATTCTCTCGCCTCCCCAGCCCCTTCACACAAACATACACCTTCACAGCTCCATGCACTGGGGCGGACCCTCTTCTGGCCTCAGAAGCCTTACGCACCAGGCAAGCACAAGGTGTGGGTGAGGAAGAGCACTTGGGATCTGGTGCCAGGGAGGGACCCACTTGGCTGGCCCTGGCCCACTTGAATGTGTCTCAGACATTTGGCCAGTGCGTCTTTCTCAGGGGTTTGGTCACAAAGGATGAACTCTTCCCATCCAGGGGACACGGGGACAGTGTACTGTCTCTCTGGTCATTGGGTCCTTCCCCACCCTGGGCAGCTTACCTGACCTCACCCTCTGAGTGAACCCTCGCTGCCCTCTAGGACATCAGCAGAGTCTCAGAAGGCCTGAGAGTGAGGGCGCCGGCAGGTGCCCCAGGAGTAGGGCCCTGATTCAGAAGGTGCTTTCCCTGAGGTGCAATCCTGAAGACCACCTGGTAGCCTGGTAGGCGGGCAGCCTGGGCAGCTCTGGCCCTCCGCCCCTCCCCCCATCGTGTGTGTATTCTAACCAGGAAGATGTGATAGCACATGGGTAGGCTAGGCAGTGGATAAATACCTCAGACGTCTTCTTACAGCAAGTGTCTGTATATGTTGTGGTTATTTTCTATCTTACATGTTCTCGAATGTTTGTATTTCAATAAACCTCTACCTCTTCACACAAGCAGGTCTCTCTTGGTTGCTTTGTGTGAGTCTTCCATTGGATGGTAACAGGAGAGGTGGATCCTTCTGAATAAAAAGGGAGTGGCTGAACAGCTCCTCTGATTCCCAGATTTTCCTGAACCTTCTCCCCATCACTGCTTACCCATCCTTTCCCCAGAGTGGTCACTCCAATGCTGAGCATATCTTCTGTTTTAGCAGGGGACTCAGACATTGCCTGGTCACCAGAACTACAGTGGTGTCACATCACCGTCATGGCAGGCACAGGGCTAGGGGGGATCCCTTCTTCCATTTAGCAAGCCCTTTTTAAGCTCCTGCCATGTCAGATGCTAAGAATAAGCCGTGGTCCCTGCACTTACGAAGCTCACAACAACCTTGTCTAGGAGATGGACACCATTATCTAGACAAAACTGATTATTTCAAATACAGCATGCCAGGACTCTGAAGAATAGGCTATGTGGGCAGACAGAATCTGCAGCAGCTCTCTGGAAATCTCTGGAAGGCTTCCCAGAGGTGGTGACATTGAAGCTGGAAGAATTAGTTTGCCAAATGGACAAGTGAAGGAAGAGTATTCCCAGCAGAGGGACTGATGGATACGGAAACACAGTAGCATCAAAGAGCCTGGCACAGGGAACCGTGGCCAGTGCCCAGCGTCGGTGGGGGTGGGGAGGACTGGGGCAAAGTGAGGTTGGGGTCAGAGGGGATGCTAGGCTCAGGGATCATCCTCTGAGCATCAAGACACTGCTAACATGTTTTAACCAGGGCATTGGCTTAAAAGGCGCTTTTCGAGAAAGCATCCATGACAAGCTGAGAGACATGCTGAGCATGGAGCCCCTGGGGACGCTGCCACTGGAACTCAGGCCTAGACCCAGAGGTCTCAGCCTATTTCTCTGCTGTAGCACACACTCCCATGGATACGGCCTGGGTTTTGACAAAACCAAAAGGAATGTTGAGAGAGGTAAAGCACTACTGGGTGATTTGTAATTGCCTTCCATCAATAACAAGGGCTACCCAGGGGTAAGGTAAACTTGACTTCAGTCACGTGGGCAGGCACCTCTGTGCAACCTGCTGAGGCAGGCTAATGGGACCCCTTTCTCTGCCCTATGGAAGTGCTAGAGAATGAGGGTGATGTTGGGATAGTTTTGAGCCTCTACCACTTACTTTTTAAATCTTTTGAAAGAAATAAGCCACCGTTCAGTATTTTAATTACTACTAACCGATTGTTGGTATCACACCTCACAACTTCCAGTGACACACCAAGGGCTTCTACATGGAGGTTAAGAACTCAGGCCTCATCTAGGAGGGATCTGAGAGGATGAGGAGGAACCAGGGTCCAGAGACATCCCAGATGGAAACAGTGCTAAGTGACTGTGGCGGGGGTGGGGGGAATACAGATGGGGGGCACTGCTGAGGGAGAAGTGGCAGCTGAGTAAGACTGCTGATCAAGGTAGAGACTCGGGAGGACCAAGACATCAGGCCACTGCAATTCCATCCCATTTCAAATTAACAGAAGAAAATATAGGAGAATATCTCAAAGACTTGAGATAAGGAAGGATTTCTAACTTGACCCAAAAAAAAGTTCACCATAAAGACAGTAAAAAGACCACAAACTAGAGATGATATTTGGAATACATAACTAAAAAAGTAGTAGTAGCCAGAATGTGATTTTTAAATGTGTATTAACTGTTAAGAAAAAAAAGTGAAAGGAAGGGTGGGGAGAGGGGACCAAGTCTTGAACAGGCATTTTTCAGAAGAGGAAAGTCAAATGACTTGACCACAGCGGTGATCATGGAAATGCACAAGAACCCATTTCACACCATCAGATTGGCACACATTTTTAAAGTTGTCCAGTACTAGGTCTTGGCAAGGATGGGAACATTCTCCTATACAGCTGAGGGTATGTAAATTGATCTAAGCAATTTGAAAAACACTTTGGGATTACTTACTAAAGCTAAGCATGCCCGTGCCCTGTTGTGTGCTGTTAAGCTGATTCCAACTCACAGCAACCCTATATGACAGAGTAGAACTGCCCCATAGAGTTTCCTAGGCTGAAGTCTTTAGGGGACCAGATCACCAGGTCTTTTCTCCTACAGAGAGGCTGGTGAGTTCAAACCTCTGACCTTTCGATTAACAGCCAAGCGCTTAACCATTGTGCTGCCAGGGCTCCTTATGTACAAGCTCTAGAGCCCAGCAATTCGACTCCTATGTGTGTGCCCAGGAATAAGGTTCATGGCAGCACTGGTGGTGATAACTGTGAAACAATCAGTTATTGAACACTGATGTGTACCAGGTGCTGCTCGAAGTTCCTTACTTGAATTAGCTCATTTAATCATCAACACATTTATGAGTTAGCACTACTACCTCCATTTTGCAGATGAAGGAACTGAGGCATAGAGGATAACTAAGCCAAGGTCCCACAGTTGAAGACGTGAGCTTCGAATTCAGCAGCTGCAGAGCCCAGCATCTGTGCTCCTAACTATAAGTGCTAAGCACTCTGTATACGCTGGCTCATTTAATAGTCCACTCATTGTCCTTGGAGGTAATTATTTTGTTCACTTTACAGATGAAGTAACTGAAGAACAGAAAGGTTGGGAACTTGCTCGAGGTCACCTATCAAGTGAATGGCAAGGCTGGGACTGGACTCCAAAGCTGCTGCTCTTAACCTCCCTTCAGCGAGGGGAAGGGGGGGCCCAGCATAGTGACCAGGGGGAGGTAGAGGATTGACAGGGTGGGTTTCTCCACATCTCTG